AAAGGCTTTTGACACAGTATTGCACCCAATTCTTACCAGCAAACTGAGTAGCTGTGATGTGGATTTTTTCACAGTAAGGTGGGTGAAAAGCTGACTCATGGGATGCACCCAGAGAATGGTGGTGGATGGGTTGGTTTCTCCCTGGAGGGATGTAGGCAGTGGTGTCCCCCAAGGCTCTGTCCTTGGACCAGTGCTGTTTAATATCTTCATCAGTAATTTGGATGAAGGTGTTGAAAGTACCTTGTCCACATTCGTAGACGACACTAAACTATGAGGAACAGTTAACACACTAGAGGGCAGGGATCGAATTCAGGCAGATTTGGACAGGCTGGGGAAGTGGGCGGATCAGAATAGGATGCAATTTAACAAGGATAAATGCAAGGTGCTGCACCTGGGAAGAAAGAATCTGCAACACACCTATAGACTGGGAGGTACCATTCTGAGCACCACAACAGTAGAAAGAGATCTCAGAGTCCTGGTTGACACAAAAATGAACATGAGCCGCCAGTGTGACGAGGTAATAAGCAAGAATAACCGCACTCTTTCTTGCATCAGCAGGTGCATCACCAGCAGGTCTAGGGAAGTGATAATTTCCCTCTATAAGGCATTGGTGAGGCCACTGCTGGAGTACTGCATCCAGTCTTGGGTGCTGCACTTCAAGAGGGATGTGGATAATCTTGAGAGGGTCCAGAGGAGAGCTACTCATATGATTGAGGGCCTGCAGGTAAGACCCTATGAAGATAGACTGAGGGACCTGAATCTCTTCAGCCTCCACAAGAGAAGGCTGAGAGGCGATCTTGTGGCTGTCTACAAACTCATCAAGGGGGCCAGCAGGGAATAGGGGCACCCCTTGGGGTTACTAGAAATAATGGCCACAAACTGAAGGAGAATAGATTTAGACTGGACATAAGGAAGAAATTCTTTACAGTCATAGAATCATAGAAGTAGGGTCGGAAGGGACCTTGTAGATCTTCAAGTCTGACCCCCTGCCTGGGCAGGAGAAAAAACTGGGCTCAAATGACCCCAGCCAGGTAGGCATCAAGCCGCTTCTTAAAGACCCCCAGGGTAGGAGCCAGCACCACTTCCCTTGGAAGTTGGTTCCAGATCCTAGCCGCCCTGACTGTGAAGTAGTTCTTATGGATGTCTAATCTAAACCGACTCTCCAACAACTTGTGGCCGTTATTCCTTGTTATCCCAGGGGGCGCTAGGGGAAACACGGTCTCCCACAAACCCTTCTGGTCCCCGCAAGAAGGGTTTTCTCTTGTGAAGGCTGAACAGGTTCAGGTCCCGTAGCCTCTCATTGTAGGGTCTGCCCTGCTGCCCCCAGATCATGGGGGTGGCTCTCCTCTGAACCCTCTCAATGTTGTCCACATCCCTCTTGAAGTGGGGTGCCCAGAACTGGATACAGTACTCCTGCTGTGGCCTGACCAGTGTCACGTAGAGGTGGCAGATCACCTCCTTGGACCTACTTCAGATGCACCTGTGGATGCACGATAGGGTCCGGTTAGCCCTGCTGACCGTGACCTCACATTTTTGGCCCATGTTCATCTTGAAGTCAATAATGACTCCAAGATCCCTTTCTGCCTCCGTGTTCTCAAGAAAGGAGTTTCCCATCTTATAAGTGCGCTGCTGGTTACTACTGCCCAAGTGCAGCACCTTGCACTTGTCAGTATTGAAACGCATCCTGTTTTTGTTAGCCCACCCCTACAACCTATCCAGGCCTTGCTGCAGTCTTTCCCTCCATACTAGTGTGCCCACCTCACCTCAAATTTTGGTATCATCAGCAAATTTAAACAGGTTGCTTTTCACCCCATCGTCCAAATTGCTGATAAAGAATTTGAACAGTGCGGGCCCAAGGACTGAGCCCTGGGGGACTCCGCTGCCCACTCCCCCCGTTTGAATATGACCTGTCCACCACCACCCTCTGAGTATGACCCTTCAGCCAATTTGCAATCCAAACAGTGAGGGTTGCCAAAATATGAAATGGGCTTCCAAGGGTGGTGGTACTTTCTCCTACCTTGGAGGTGTTCAAGAAGAGATTGGCTAGGCATCTGGCTGGGGTTACTTAACCCCAGTGCTTTCCTTCCTGGAGCAGGGGGTTGGACTTGATCTGCCAGGTCCCTTCCAACCCTAGAAATCTATGAACTGAAAGGATTAGAGCACTTCACTCTTATTGCAGTCACATTTTTTTAGAAAAATCAATAAATTAACTACTTAAAAGTGAAAGCAGGGCAGGAGATTATCATTTTTGGCTGTTTGCAGACATTAAAAAAACTCAAAAAATGCACTTTACTGGAAGAAGCAGCATGTTATTTTGATCCGGCTCTATAGCATCTGTATACATCAGGTGCCTCAGCATGGCTTTTTGGTACTTTTAGCTAAAGCCAATTCAATCAACTATTAGATAAAAGCACCAAAAAAACCCCTCTAAAGCCCCCAATCTATACAAATGTTGGGCGAGCTGGGTCCAACTAATGGACTGCCTCTTCTGAGCGTGCACTGGGCTCAGCTTTTTTTTTAAACACACGCAAGCAGCCTTTAGTTCTAATAATGCAAACTATTTATATAAACAAAACAATTTACTATAGAATTCTTCTGTATCACCCACTTCAACCTCCCTTTGTTACATATAGAATGGCTGAGGTCACAGTTGAAAGCTAAAGACTGTTGTTTATGGACTGTCCTTTGCTAGAAAGACAAGTCCAGCAGTCAGTTGTGGGTGACTGGGATAGGAAGAAAATCTTCACCTTTAGTTACAGAGCAATCAGCCTGACTAATTCCAGGCAGTTAAGCAGAAAGCAGGGCAGGGTGGCACCTTATTGACTAGCTTGTTTAGAGAGCTATGAGTTTTCCTTTGCTACAGCCTATATCTCATTACCTGAATCAGCTTTTATAACCCCCATGTCCTTCAATGGATTAACTGCTTAAATTCATCTCTCCCCTTCGCTCCTGGGCTCTCTCAATAGTGCCCTCTTCTTTTTCCTTCTCCTTCCCTATCCTTTGCATTCAAATCCCTGCTTTCTGTTTCAAAGCTCTACTTCCTGCAATCTCTTCATAGCATCTGACATAAGCCACTGCTTATGAAAGCTTATTATCTCGACACAGCCTATAAGGTGCAAATTTACTCGATTTCTACAGCCTACTCTGTCAAATGTTATTAGAGCAAATTATGAAACAGTCAGTTTGTAAACACCTTAAGTAAGGGGCAATCACTAGTAGCCCATACAGATTTGTTAAGAACAAATCAAGCCAAACCAGTTTGGCTTCCACCTTTGGCAAGGTAACTAGTTTGACGGACGAAGGGAAATATACTTGACTGAATATACCTGGATTTTAGTAAAACTTGAATATACTCCTACATGACATTCTCATAAATAAACTGCAGAAATTTAGGACAGATAGAATTACTGCCAGATGGATATACAATTGGCCAAATACCAGCAATCAAAGAGTAATAATTGTAAAAGGATTAAGGTCAGGATAGTAAAAGGTTCAAACTGAGTTATGGAGGATCTGCTCTGGGTCTGGTGTTGTTTAACACTTTTTAATAGCTTGGATGCAGGAATAGAGAGCTTCCTGCTTAATTTTGTAGATGCAAAACTGGGAATGCTTTCAAACACTATGGAGAATAGGATCTTAGTGTTTGGATGGATCACAACCTCAACATGAGTTAGCAATGTGATGCAGTCACATAAAAAGCAAATCTGATTTTGGGCAGCATTAACAGATAAACAAGATATGGAAGATGACAATATCACTCTAGGCAGTGCTGGTTAGGGTTCAGCTGGAGAGCAGTTAATGCGTACCACTGACAGGTTGTCTGTGTACCACTGGCAGTACCCGTACCACAGATTGGGAACTGCTGGTCTAAAGGATTTCAGGCTGCACTTGTTTTCTAAACTCTCTCAGCTGTTCATACTTCTCTCATTTCTCTGAACATTTCTGCAACATGCTGAGAAAGACTCAGTAGGTGTTGAATTATCTGCGGCAACCGCTTCAATTTCTTAGCACTTCACAACTGTTCATGGAAACGTGACTGTCCCCCAACTTACAAATCGGGAACTGAGGCACAAAGAGACCACTTTGGTGAACTTATCTTGGTTGACAAGTCCTTCACTTTAGGGCTGTTAATTAATGTGCTTAATTAACACATTAATTGGTTCTTGTGTTAATTGTTTAACATGTTAATCATGCAGCACTTGATTCTGGAGCCCGTGCCCAGGCTCTACTCCACAGCCATCACCGCTGCCTCCAGGCTGCCCAGATGGGCAGCGGTGATGGTACAGAGGAGCCACAAGGCAGCCCAGATGCAGGCTACAGGCTGCTGCAGCAGGGGGGGCACGCAAGCAAGCAAGCAAGCAGGCACGCACAGACACAGACGAGAATGCAGCCTGGCAGTATGTAGAGCAGTGCTCAGCAGCTAAGTCTGTGGAAGAGAAGGGGCAGGGGGGAGAAGGAAGGGGGCCCCCCCAAGGTGAGGGAGGGAGTGGGGCTGGGGCAGGTCATGTACGGAACTGTGGGTTAGTCATCCAGGGAAATAGCTCCCCACTGCTATGTGCACCCCCAGGAGAGGTATGTAGGCCACATGTCTCCCAGATTTGTGCACGGGGCAGAGGCAGGCTGCCCACTGGGCTGGCACTCTGTGTCCTGCTGCCTTTGCCCTGGGAGCCACATGCTGGCTGTACCTCCCCTGCCCACCCAGCAATGGGAGGCACAATATGGCATTGCGTGGTTCCTGGGGCAAAGGCAGCAGGGTGCTGAGCCCCAGCCCACCTTCATCCTGCACACAAATCTGCCCCCCATGCTTCCCCTGGGGATGCACAGTGGTGGGTCGCCACACCCGCCTCACGTGCCCTGGACAAGCCACCTGTGACTTGGTCCCACAACCTGCTCTGGCCCCAGGACCCCATTCACCCCAGCACCTGGCCCTACCCCACTTCCTCCCTCAATGTGGGGGCCTCGATCTGTGTCCCCTCTACCTATCCTCTCCACAGACTTACCTGCTGGGTGCTGCTTTACACACCTCCAGGCTGTGTTCTTGTAGCGTTATCATAGTTCCAGTTTCAAAAGAGAGGACACCTGGGGGTTACTATAGTTCCAGTTTCAAAAAAGAGGACGCCTGGGGGGGGGGTAATATGATTGTGGGGGGAAGAGAGAAGCATTATGCCCATGTCCTACCCCTCCCTCACTCCCAAGCCACAGCACCCCCAGCCCTGCTGCTGCCCCTCACTCCTGACCTATAGTATTGGCTATCCTGCCAGGGCATTCAGGGACCCCTCCTCCCCAGGCTTCAAACCCCTCACACACAGCCCCCCAACCTGCATAATTTTGAGTTTTTAGCTGTGCAATTAAAATCACAATTGCAACTATTTTTTTAATTGTGCAGCTAATGGCGATCAAGTTTTTTTAATCATTTGACAGCCCTCCTTAATTTAGGCCGCTTGTTCTGGATGGGACAGAGCAGGGATGGAAGAGGGGCGCCGGGAGCTGTGGCTACTAGGCCGTGCTTCCCCAGTGACAACTGCTTTCCCGTCCGGCTACCAGACCTTTTCACACGAGCCGCCGGCTGCAGGGCTCCCC